GGGGTAGCCTTGACTCGTTTTCCTGGCTCCCATTGTTCTCCAACATCAGAGGAGCAAGTCAGAAACATATTTGTGCTCTAAATCACTTGGTATTTCGCTGCTCTCTCTCTCTCTAATGCCAAATTTATCAGGTTCAAATGTGGTATCTGAATAAAATGTAAGCATCACATATAGACAGCGGTGGCAGAGGTTGTGTCTACGGTTTATTGGCTCACACCATTTTTTTAGGGGCATATTTGTCTCCCTTTCGCTCTGTGATCATCTTGTGTGTCAAGCTAAACGACTGACTTTGTGTTGCGCTAAACAAGCTGGGCCTTTCCGTTCATAACGGAAGCCGTGAGCCTGTCAATAGGAATAAATCTGCTTTCAGAAGCTGTTAAATGTTTTCCTGGCTCACCCGGCCAGTCGCTTCCTCGGGAGCCCGCTGCACGCTGCTGATTATTTTATCGACATCCTCAATACAGACATATTCAGGAAACACTCGGCCTCTGATAGCCCGGGATCCGTTTTTCACATATTGTTACACTTCCTCTGGCTGGCCAGCGAGGATGTGGCATGGTTGGCGGCTAGAAGAAAATAAAGCAAACAGAGCGACACGACAGGCCTAATGGGATCTTTGAGAAAAGATAAAGCCTCGTTTGAGAGCAGGCAACAATAATGAAAGAGGAAGGGTTGGAGTGACGTAAACGAGTGTCATACGTGACAACGAGAAACACAAAGACTAAGTCTTCTCAGAGAATAATGGGATGAATTCAGTGTATAGGCCTGATTTGTGTTCATCCACACTCATTTTTATATAATTTTTTTATTTTGTGAAACTATATTGAGTTTACGGAATAACCGACTTGTATAAAAGTTTGATGATGAAATTCACTCGAGGTTTTGTTTTGGCTGCAGATTAGCTATAGTATCCTCATAATACACAATAACGTAATATTAACTATTATTAGTATTATTATTGTTATTATTATTACTTTATTTTATATCATATTGCACATTTCAAAATAACCGCTACAATGTGCTTCACAAAGAGGACAATGAAGACAAAAATACAAAAAATCTAAAAAAGAAGCAAATTAATAGAATGTCATTTAAAATCTAAGCAAATTATATAGTTGTATATGCTGGTGATAGTAGCAGTTTTCTCCAGTTTCAACACTATCTCCTCCCTCATAGTTGTTCTTAATTAATTTAATAAGCTCAGCTTCAGCGTAGCCCAGCTATTTCATTTTAATAGGAATAAACACCAGATAAATTAAGATCATCAGAAAGAAAAGCTGAGGAAGAAGTCATTGTATGCGTGAACTCGACATTGTTTTTAATCATTACAGTACCAATACACATAATCATAAATACTCCCGAATAAAGGACAGGACATCTTCACAGAATCTTTTTGAATTTCATGACATTTTTTTTGGTTTTTAGAAACAGATCACATGGGCCTGGATTAGCTAACTTCCTTTGGAAAAGAGCCGCAGTAAGGTCTTTGACAGCAGTTTCGACCGCAACAGATTTATATTGTGTCAGTGAGTCTGTGTCTGTTGGTGGATGCCATAGCCTATAATCACGCCACAAAGGAGGAAGCACATGCAGCGGATATTTGGCCATAGTTTTTACTCCGTCACGACCTTCCTTTAAAGACAGCATGCAGCAGGCTGGTGGGGGGTGGGGGCAGTCTTCCTGTCCATTAACTACAGAGGAAACTAGGCCTGAACCCGCTGCTTTACAGTCATTTCAACAACACGCAAAACGAGTTTTAAGATGAATTAATCTCAACAATTCACAATGTTTCCTGATTTATCTGAACTTTAACTGTGCACGTTGACCACTATATCTTATTGTTATTGAATCATAAAGTAGAGTGAGACTGTCAGTGTGTTACACAGTCAGATGTTTCGATGAATGTGTGCACATGGGGTCGCATGCTCTCGATCTGAAAGTCTTCCTAGGTTTTTTATTTGTATTTTCTGTGTCTAACTTCCCTTCGATTAAAACGACATATATCATTCAGCTCTATAAACAGCCTGTGTCTAATACAATCTTCAATTTCGATTCACAATTGTTTTCTGCACCTTATAATGAGTCATGTGACTCATGATTTTCCCCAGCGAGAGGAATCTGAAAACATTTAGCTTTAAACTGGGAAAATGTAACAACGTTGCCTTTAATAAAACGTTAGTCATAAAAATTTGCAGGTCTGCCACATCCAACAGTCAAAATGAGAGCGACTGTCCTCGTATATGATGCAACTTTATGGGGACTTGTATTAAATGCCCTGTTCTTCCCTCCCTCCTCTAAAGGGAAGCCACTGCTATGGACTCCCTTCATGCAGCGACCGCTGCACAAGAGAAAAGGTGGTCAGGTCAGGTTCTCTAACGACCAGACCATTGAGCTGGAGAAGAAGTTTGAGACGCAGAAGTACCTCTCTCCTCCAGAGAGGAAGCGACTAGCAAAGATGCTGCAGCTCAGCGAGAGGCAGGTGAGAATAAAAGGAAAAACAACTTTAATGTGAAGAAACCTCAAGCAGAATCAGACTCAATGGACGAGGAACAGTTGTTTAACTGCGGACGTGTTGCTATAATTAAATTAAATAAGAATGATATTTATAGATGCAACGACGTTTTTAACGATAACAGCACCAGTAAATAATAATTATAGACTAATAAAAATAATTATAATAATAATAATCAATAATTTTGAATGAGAGAGAGCAAAAACTATGGGAGAGAAAAAACACAAAGCCACTGACGTCTTCTGTCGCCACTACTTTATATTATTATGATTAATTCTCAATAATCTAACTGATTTAGTTGTGTTTAGAAGTGTAGAAATTGCAGCAGAACTATTCTGCTGTCTGTTCCAATGTTTGATATTTATTTGTTAATAGAAGTTATTAATTGTGTTTGTGTTTGAAGGTCCTACAAGTTAATTTGATTATAAATGAGTCCTTATGGTGTAGTCCTGCGGCACAATCCTCTACGGTCTAATTTAATGCGGTGTGCATTCCACCTTTAAAANACACACACACACACACACACACACACAAATTATTGTATGCCATACATATGATCAATATGTGACACATGTTTCTACTAATGACCAAGACTATGATTGTATCTGCATAGTGTTTTATTTATTTATCCTACAATCTACAATCTAGATCAAATAAAGCATGTTCATGTTTTATTAATTATTATCTTTATTAAGATAAAAAATAGTGGCTTGAAGCACAAGACATGATGTGTTAACTTCCTCAGTACTTAACCAAATCATGAATGGCTCAAGCGTAAATACATGGACACAGGACATGAACCAACACTAATGTCCTAGCCTAACCTTAGAAAACGTATGTGCTTCATTTGGCACAAAACTGAGGAAAACAGCAGAGGGACCAAAGTTTGGGGAATTTAAAAACATTAGAATATATTGGCCCCCCTGTGGTAAAAAAAGGCGCTAAAACATAGAGCAGACTTTTGCAGATGTTGTGGTGGGGGATTTTGAAAGACTCTTGAGGCTGAGCCCTTCCTTGGTGATACAAAGATAGACAGTGCATCCGTCCAATTAGCAACGACCCTGGTAGACAGCCTGTAGATCATGTTTTCTGCTTTGTGGTTACAGTTTCTGTATTGTGAGTTCTGTTTTGATTTGTTGTTGTTTTTTACCCATCTGTCACGATAATCCCATATTATGGCATTAAATTGTAAATAACCATTTTTATACAGTAGTGGGCTCAGTAGTGGGAGAGCCAGGTTTTATGATTTTATTTTCTTATATATTTTCAAAGATAAGCCCATATGTTCATGTGGACTGAAGATATTCTTTTTTTGTAATTAAAGGTTCAGTGTGTAAGATTAGGTGAAAGGGATTTTTGGCAGAAATTAAATATAAAATAATCCTAGTGATGTTTTCACTGGTGTTTTTCATCTAAATTGTAAGAAATTGTTGTTTTCTTTACCATAGAATGGGCCCTTTATATTTAAAAATGTTTTACAGTCGTTTGGACTGGACAAACTTTTCAAACAAATTTTTCATGACAATTAAAGTTCACCACCGGATCTCTTTCATGTGGGGAAGGGGAGGCTGAGATGAGGAGTATTCAGCTGCAACATGCAACTTCACCTCTAGATATCACTAAATTGTACACACTGAATCCTTAAACATGTACAAACAGACAGTAAAAACAGACTTAATTATTACTTTGAGTTACAAAATACCCAAAAACCTGTGAGAAATACACCCAGAACAATCAAAATAACGTTAACAGTTACAGTAGTACAACCAGATCATCACAGTGTCCTCCACTGAAGTTCTCACCTTCACTATTAATTCCAGCTAACATGTGTTCATATGATACCATTTCCAACATAGATTCCCCCCATTTCTTAATATCTGGAGAGGATGTACTTTACAGCCATGACAGCCCGACCTTTATTACTGCAAAGTCAGATTTTGATATATTGGGCAGTTCTGTCTGGTCCCCCAGTAGGCAAAGTCTTGTTGATACAGGTACCGTCGAACCTACACACTCCCTTATGTATTCTAGTACTTTTTCCCAAAATCGGTAGACACATTTAAACTCCGTTTTAAGAATGTATTGTATATTCACAGACTACTTGTTTTCATATGGTCTGCTGCTGATCATGTTAAAAACATTAAAGCCCAATTTAAATGCTACCTATGTAGCTATGATTGGCTGCTCTCACATGAGATCTAAGATATTTTGTAGTTTGTAGTTTTTTTATCTTATGACTTTATTATACATAATGATAAAACATTAGACTTTGCGTTGGAATTAAGTGAAATTATTTTTCACATGTTAGGTGTTTCCTTTTTTCTTTCCACTGGTTTAATCGGACTCTGTCGGTTGTCTGGAATGTTTCATCTAATTAACTAATAATCCAGTTTTATGCAAAACAATCAAATTAGCCTAATGTCATTGATGCATCAATAATTTTATGTATAGCTAGTCAAGTTGTAAGTAATGTTAACTACTTAATTAGCTACTCTGTTAATCTACAATAACAGAGTTTGCATTAAATTCTCAAAATGTATCAATTGTTCTGGGTGAATTTTTCCAACTGGAAAGTAATCACAACTGATGCGTAGACCTGGTCCTATACTGTAACAATTTCAAATACCCATACATTTTTATGATAATGTGCACAGTATGATGCAAATTAGTTTTTATTAATTTGATTTCATATTATTGTTGTTTGATAAATGACACCCTGGATGGATGTTGCTGAATATGTAAGTTTCCCACTTAAAGATGCAGACCCTCACTGCTCTATTTTACTGCCTCCTGATTTCCCAGCGAGTCAAAGCAGCCACAGATTAGCAAACAGTTTAGTCCATGTTGATCGTTGTCCCATCACCACCTTCATCTTCAAATAGCTTATCACTGAGGCCTCATGCAGACACTGTGAGTGGGAGTTTTTCAGTAAGTAGATTAGGTTAATGATTGAGTGAACCTTCAGAACAGCAGGAACTACAGACAGATAGCAGGCCACTGATTGATAGTCATGCAATATGTCCTTAGTACTTTTTAATATAAGGGATGATTATAGTCATTGAGACTAACATTTAAACTGAGATTATGGGCCTGATTAGTAAATTAGGGAAGACTAATTTTTAACCATTTGTGATGCTTAAAGGCAAAAGGTCATTGCTCCCATAACCTGTTTGAGTTGCATTACTGAGGTTCAATGGCCTTTCATGTACAAGACTATTCCTAAACCAACAGTATGCACATTGATCTTAGCCTCTGTATTGTGTAATGGTTCACAAATTGTGCAGGGTAAAGTCAACATTCGGAGGAATAGCACACACAGTTGGTGGGTAAAATTTTAAGCAGATAGCTGGTCTGTTCTTGAGTGCCTGTCTGATCTGGTCAATTCACACACACCACACACACACACACACACA